TTTTTTAAAAGATTTAAGGATAGTTATGTTATTTTGACAAATATATGAGTCTCACTTGTAAATATCAATGAAAGATAATATCAAAAATTTAGATATTTAAAGATTAACTAATATGTTACGAAATAAGTTAGCCCTCTCATTTGTTTTATGTTTATACATCGAACTAAATTTAGGGCTTGTAATCCTTTTATTTGTTTTATGTTTATATGTTAGAATAGAAAATTAGAGTTTGTAACCCTCTTTTGTGGTTTATTTTTAAATGTTGAATTAAAATTAGCGCTTGTAACTCTTTGTTGTATTTTATTTGTTACATGTTGAATTGAAAATATAAAATTAGGGCTTGTAATCATCTCTTATGTTTTATTTTTTATGTATTGAATTTAAACTAGGATTTGTAGTTTTGTATTCATTTTCCTATGTTGAAATAAAATTGGGACTTGTAGTTCTCTTCTATAATTTATTTTTTTATATAGATAATTGATATTTGGGTTTGTAGTCCTCTCTAGTATTTTATTTTTATATGTTGAATTAGAATTAAGACATGTACTCGTCTCATTTATTTTTTATTTTTTGTAGAATTAGAATTAGGACTTGTAGTCCTTCATTATAATTAAACTAAATTATTTTGATTTGGTAGTTTGAACAGTTTTATTGTGATAAGTTAAGTACTTCATATACCTAGATTTAGTTTACTAGAATAATTATAGTTTAAGTTAATTTCGATTGTTTGCTAAAATTTAATGATGAATATTAAGTTTGTGATTGAACAAATTAATTTTTGAATTAGTTATGAAAATTTTTCTTAAAGTTTAATATATGATTGAGCCCAATTTTACGGTTCAAAATTTTTTTGTTAGGTCTTATAGATAAATCTATAATGAGTTTTTTTTTGTTAACTCATTTTGTATATCGCTCATGTATATGAATTACGTATTTAATTGGTGTTCTATTAATAAAACTATACTTTTGTGAATATTTTAAATTTTAATATTAATATAATTTAAATTGCTCCCACTGGAGAATATGTCTGGCTCTGCCCCTGGCTGGATGGCAAATACTATCAGGTAAATTTTGTTAATTTAGTTAATTTCAATTTGTAATGAGAATTTTTCTGTATTTCGTTTTTGTACTGATTTTTGCTTGCTACTGTTTGTATAATGTGGATTTTTGAATCTGGGTTTAAATGAATGTGAAATTTATAGTGTGGGTTGTGTTACTTATAGTAAGTATTTGTAAGAATTTTTTTTTTCATCCCACCCCCAAAGTAAACCTGGTTATGGACCATCACCCACTAATGTCAGTTAAACTTGGTTGTTGTTAGGGGAAGTAGAACACAGGAAGATTGAGTTTATGGTTCATCCAGGCTATCCCTTCACCCCTATGCTATGCTATGATTGCAGATTGTATTTGTATAATTTATTTGAGACTGTTTATGTTTTCTCTGATATGGTGGTGCTTTGTAATCTGTCAGGAAGGAGGAAAAAAATTGAAAGAAAGAACCCAATGGGTAGACAAGATGGCCAGGCGTCCTCTTTAAAATGGTAGAGGTCTTAAGTTTGAATTTGAATCGATTTGGGTATGTCCTCGCAGACATTGGTATGGGCCTGCTAGAGGTCTCAAGTTTGAATTTGAATCTATTTGGGTATGTCCTCACAGACATTGGTGAATGGCTCTAGTGCGTTGGATAAAGTATCTGGAGGAGTAGCCGGGGATGGTGCTAGACGTCTGGACACCTTTGTCATAGGAAACTAGAAAACAAAAAGGAAATTGAAGAAAAGAAAAGGGAGTAGCTTTAATGTAAACTTGTAGAAGTAAATGTAAGGCGGAGGATGGATATTCTTTAGGCGTTGAAGAAATATTTACATTCCATTTTTACCAATTTCTTTTTTGGTTTTCTCTATTAGCAATAAAATTCATGAGGACGTGAAATATGCACGGGTAGGTAGAAAGACAGAAATGTATGCACCCAAGTGTCCATCTTTATCGGCCATGTTTCCATTTTTTGTTTCAGGGTTTACCATTCTTCATAGTTTCTTGCATTTTTTTTATTGCACATTTTTTAGGGTCTCGCTCCGTGAGTTCAAAGGATACACTCGTGTCATACGACTGCGTCCCGAATTGGATAAATTTGAGTACCTCTTTGAGAAGATGTTAAAAATTTTAAGGGCTTGGTTTCCTCATAGTTGCTGACCAATCTGTAAGCCACAAGTAGTTACTTTTGCTCGGATAAAATCACTTTGTCCTGTTGTTTATATTTTTTGAACTAAATTTATAACCTCTTTGTAGTGATTTGTATGTAGGCTATCGAGGGGAATAAAGCCCTTCTCGTGCCCTCGTAGGATTCGTTTGTTTAGCGGTACAATGATAAAAAATACAAGAAATACATTTTTTTAAAAAATTTTACGTGTTTAATTAGCATGAAAAGGAAAATAATGAAAAAATAATTTTCTTTCATGTTTGAATTTTCTCACAAATAAACAACTTTTTTTTCTTGTAAAAAACACAAAGAAATGCAAGAAAGTTATGATCTATAACTAATTTCATATTTTGTCCTTATTTTTCTTAATATATTTTATTGGCTATTAATTTTAAAAATTTTGGTATAAATTTGATTAATCAGATAATTTAGCCTAAAAACCTTTATATTGATGATTGTCTTAAAATTAAGTTTCAAGCCATTTTTTTAAAAAAATTTAACTTTCAATTATAATTACATATTTTTTTTAGACCAATTTAATATAATTAAGGGTAATTTAGATAATTATAAAAAATTTATTATAACTTTTATTTCTTTCAAATAATAGAAGAAACATTTTTTAAATTTTTTCGATAAATTTTTCATTTTAACCAAATACATGTATAAAAATATATTTTCTATCATTATTTTTTTTTCACCTCACTTTCTTTCAATTTTTTTTTTCTTGATCAAACGGACCCATAACGTCCTTCTTGTGCCCATTACTATTTCCAAGGAAAGGAAATGATGAAACTGCCAATTATCTCCTTCTCTCTCCATTTTTGCCCCTAATCCCATGTTCTCTCTCCATTGACCATGATCCTTTTCTAGAATGGAGTCAGTTTTATACCAACTTTTGTTGCAATGCTTTGAAAATTATGATTTGAGGACAATCCATGTTTTCATTTTGACTAATGCTAATCTCATTTAATAACAAGAAGAAAAGTTGAGAGTAAACACAAAAAGGGTAAATTACATTGACTCCCCTTATTTTTTCATGGCAACCCCATGATCTTTCAGAAATGACATGATGTGGATAAAATGCCCTAAATATATTTCTGTGGATCTTTAGGCAAGTGGACTTACTTCCGGGATCATCATGTTCTGTATGAAGACAGTAAGGCCTTAGTGTAATAATTTTTTTTTTTTTTTTTATAGTTGATCCAAAAAAGAAACACAAAGGGAGTCTAATCGATGGCAGTATGATTCTCCATTCTTCCTTCTTTCGAGAAGGTATCTATGCTGTGTTGGAAGAGACAGGACAGGAGTTAGTTGGAACTTTCTCTCTGTCAAATTAGTTTGAGCTTTGCTGAAACTCATCTGATTACTTTATTATAGTTCTATATCTTTATCATCTGTTTTTAGTAGAAGGTTCAACCTTTTTTTGTAGAATAAATTGTCCTTTATGTGGATCTGAATGGGGCCAAGGGTTATGAATAAAACTAAATATAAAAGAAATAGTTTTGACAGACTTAGGGATGTGCATTACTGTGAGTACAGTCCATAAGAAGCATTTGCATGAGATTAGACAAGAAAGGAAGTACCATGAGCACACTCCATAAGAATAGCTCTAAAAACTCGGACTCTGAGAAATACCCTCCCCATTGTGGTGGTAATCAAATCTCCAATCGAGTGTTTCTGAAATTTTGTGATTTTTATGCTATTCTGATGCTTGTAAGTCTGTTTCCTTTTCGACAAAGGCCAAGGAAAGTTTGTTTTACTTTTGCTCGAGTAACGAAATATTTCATGTTATACTGGGCGAAGTGATGCAGATGACAATGATAACACCACCCAATTTCAACCATGAGTTGCTTTACCTGAACAAGGAAGACCGATTACTGCGCTGGCTTTTGGTAAAACACAGAGACATCAAATATGGTTTGGAGTTTTTCAAAGATGATGGTAAAGGTGAGCTGAGCAAGTTTCAAAGCAACTTATGTGAATATGAGGACGATGATGAATACGAATGTTAAGACTGAAGAGTGATGCATTTTGCTGCCATGTTAGTTTACTTGGATGTTCACTTTGGCACTTAAAATTTCCCCAGGCTTAGGATCTTTTTTTACAAGTATTCTTGTGTTATGGTAAATTTGATCATTGATTCATTAAATTTACGAATCTTGGGTTTTCTATTATTGAACCATTGTCTAGCATTGGATAGTGTATTAATTAAGTTGTCTGACATTAGAGAGGGCGTTTAGAGAAAAGATGTTTTTGAATGAGTTTTTTTTTTGGTGAATTGTATACCATTGGATCGAAGTAGATAAAATTTAGAACAATATTTACTATTGTTATGTTTTTATAAATTGAGAATTTTAGTTGTAATATTAGATAGATATTTCAGTTTGGATCAAATATTTATATATTCAAATATTTATTCCTAAAATATAGTAAAACAAATTTATATTCTAATAATCTCTCGAAAATTTAATCCATATCTGAATAAACAAATTTAAATTTGGATCAAAATTCAATTGATTGACATACTTATTTAGGTTAATTGACCACAATTGATGAGTGATAAGGGTATTTCAAAATCACAAAGAGGTGTTTCTATATTTATTAGAAACTTTAACGGATGTCGGCGTAATTTCTCAAAAAATTAAAAAAGGAAAAAGATCAAACCATTTGTCCACACTCCACACCCATTTCCCGCCAAATCCTTCCCGCCAAATCACCATCACATAGATAGAGGGAGCGAGGAGAGAGAGAGAGAGAGAGACTCCCCCTACTCAGAACCCCTTTGAGAGAGAGAGAGAGAGAGAGAGAGAGAGAGAGAGAGATGTCTGGTTGGGATGAAGGAGAAATCTTCTACAGTGACCAAGCTCAGTTCCCCCACGGCGGAGGCGGCGGCGGCGGAGGCCCGGAACAGGGGGTGAGTCGGCACACGATTCTCCGGAAGTTCAAAGAGTTCATTAGAAATTTCGAAAGCAAAAATGTGTTCCCGTACAGAGAAGCTTTGCTTCAAAACCCTAAATACCTCCTCGTCAACCTCGCAGACCTCCTCAAGTACGACAAAGATCAAGAAGATCTCGGCAAACTGCTCCGGGAGAACCCCGCCGATTACCTGCCCCTGGTAAATTGCTATATAATCGCTTGCATTTATAGGCGTGTATATCCTCAAACAACCAAATCCTGTGAGTGGATGTTTGTATATATTTGTGATTCTGAGATCATTTATGGGATTTTTCGTTTTACATAAATCATGGGTTATTTTACATGATTGATCGGATATAGAATCTTGTATGTTATTGGTATTAGGGTTTTCAGAAATTTTGGTTAGTGTCTCAAATATGTGTATTGATGGGATTTTTTTATATCCTTATCTGAGATGTATATATTATGGTCTGCAGTCATACTGGGATGAAAAATATTTTCTTTGGGATTTTATTAATGTTTGTATAATGTGTATATAGCATGGAGTAGACATGATTCTGGTGATGGTTATATATGTTTATATCATAAAATACATGTATATCATAAAATAAAGCTATAGCCTATACCTATGGCATTGGTTACTTTAATGTTACACGATGTAGAATGAGGATTGAGATTTTTTTCTGTGTTTTATGTTAGTTTGAAACTGCGGCGACTGAAGTTCTTGCAAGTTTGAGATCAAGAGTTATTGGAGATACAGGTGAACTGGAGGAGCCAGAGACCGGGGAGGTGCAGATTTTGTTGAAGTCAGAACAAGATTCATTGTCAATGCGATTGCTTGGGGTTAGTTTGTTAAAACTGAAAGTTTCTTTTGCTTTTTTTTTGGATCTAAACTTTGTTGGTTTTATAGGTATTTAGCTTTTCCTGGTTAATTGTAGGCACATTACATATCAAAATTGGTTAAGATATCTGGGATTACTATTGCTGCATCAAGAACTAAGGCAAAGGCAACTTATGTGACATTGTTGTGTAAGAATTGTAAGAATGTGAAGCTTGTTCCATGCCGTCCTGGGCTTGGAGGGGCGGTTGTGCCACGTTCCTGTGATCACATGCCCCAGGTTTATCTCAAATCCATTATTTTAAATTCTTGTGGTTTGGTTTTATTCATTGAACGTAGTGCAAATGATTGGAAAATTTGTAGCCTGGGGAGGAACCATGTCCTATTGATCCATGGATTGTCGTACCGGATAAAAGCAAGTATGTCGACCAGCAGACCCTCAAGTTGCAGGAGAATCCTGAGGTAAGAGTTTTTGACACACGAAAAGAAGTTTGATGTTAAGTTGCTATCTTTTTTGTTGCTGTAGATTTTTGTTATCTTCATTTGTTAATCTCATGTTTCTTAATTGGAAATGGAAGGATGTCCCTACTGGGGAGCTACCTAGAAACATGCTTTTATCCATTGATCGTCATCTAGTGCAAACAATTGTACCTGGCACAAGATTGACCATAATGGGGATCTACAGTATATTTCAAGCTGCGAATTCATCCACATCGTAAGAGTTAACTTAATGCATCTGTTGACTAGCACCTTAGTTAAATTAATATCCAGAACTATTATTGGATATTTGAACTTAATGTTTATTTTCAACTTGGGTTCTTATGCAGTCACAAAGGTGCAGTTGCAGTTAGACAGCCTTATGTTAGAGTTGTTGGAATAGAGGAGACTAATGAGGCTAATTCTAGGGGTCCTGCCAACTTCACCGTAGATGAGGTAAATTTTCAAGTTTTCCAGAAATCAGTAATGCCGGTTACCAAGAATTCATTCTCATGCAATGGAATCTGTGAGGTTTTTTTTTTTCCGAACAGGTTGTGTCTTTGGGGTGGAGATTTCAATTTACGTTTGAATTTCAAATGTTTATAAATAAGTGAAAAATTTATTTTAGCAACGTGGTCTTTCTTATGTGCTCAACAGTGTCAGATAAGAAGATTATGAATTCAAGCAGAATTCTGATTTAGGGTGGATCATTTGGGGAAGAAATAATCTGTTTCGACTTTTGTTGGTTTATCAATTGTACTAGCAATAATGAGGTTTTTTTCTTGTTGTAAACCCTTGGTGGCTGGTTTATCCATTCAGTTATGTTCCATTTAATAATTATTGTACAAATTAAAGGTTTTCTTCTTTTCTGTATGTTGTTCTTTAACAGAATTTTGCTAATATGCAGATAGAAGAATTCAAAAAGTTTGCATCAGATAATAATGCCTATGAAAACATATGCTCCAAGATTGCTCCCTCTATATTTGGCCACGATGATGTGAAGAAGGCTGTGGCTTGTCTTTTATTTGGCGGATCGAGGAAGGTATGCCGTAAGGTGTCTTGTAGCGTTGATATATATTAACTTTTGTCATAATACTTTCTCTGCTATTACAGATTTTGCCCGATGGTGTGAAATTAAGAGGTGACATTAATGTATTGCTCTTGGGGGACCCCTCTACTGCTAAATCACAGGTGATCTTTTTTTTTTTTATAGTTTGGTTGTGATTTATGACCCATGAAGTCGTATGTTCAGCTGCTTGCTGCACTCTTTTATGCCACTGTTTTAATCGAAGAATTCTTTAACTTTGCTTCAAGCTGTTTCATATAGGCTTGGTGAGAGAACGAAACTTACCTAGGACTCAAGAAAGTCTGTGCTCTTGCTTTGATTACTATGATGATTAATTATTCCTCACATTATTTTGGTTGTAATTTTACTAGTTCCTCAAGTTCGTCGAGAAGACAGCTCCCGTAGCAGTATATACTTCTGGGAAAGGCTCATCAGCCGCTGGTCTTACAGCTTCTGTGATTCAAGATAATAGCTCAGTAAGTTTGTCTATTTGTCTGAAGTGTTTAACAGATGGTGTTTGTATCTCTATTTTCGCGTTGCTTTGGAGGTCTGTCTGATGAAATGTGATTCCATTTATTGCGATAAAAAATTTTGTGCCTATAAATTAATCCTTTATGCAATTCAGCGGGAGTTTTATCTAGAAGGAGGAGCCATGGTTTTGGCTGATGGAGGTGTCGTCTGCATAGATGAATTTGACAAAATGAGGGCAGAAGACAGGTAACCTGAACTAGAATTAGATTTTGATGGCCCTCTATCTTCGTCTGTTTTGTTACTGGAGTTCTCAAGAGTTTACACGTGGCCCAGAGTTGCAATTCATGAAGCCATGGAGCAGCAAACCATTTCCATTGCCAAAGCTGGAATAACAACTGTTCTCAATTCTAGAACCTCTGTGCTAGCAGCAGCTAACCCTCCATCAGGACGTTACGATGATCTCAAGGTCCATAACTCTTTTTGCTTATCCCTTTTATGTTTCCGAGCTTGTGGACTATAATTCATTCATGAGATATTGTAACTGAGCAACTAACAAAATACTTACTTTGCAGACTGCTCAGGATAACATTGATTTGCAGACGACAATTCTATCGAGATTTGATCTAATTTTCATTGTGAAAGATGTCAGGATGTACAGTCAAGACAAGGTACATAAGTTTTTATCATTTTCAGTTGGTGTTTTCCCTAAGGTGTCATTTGGACTCTGCAAGGAAATGAAAGAAAAAAATGATTATAATGACTCTACTTGATCCACTATAAATGCATTATCTGCCGCATAAATAAGTCATGAGTAGCTATTGCATTCTCTGCCTGAAGCATCTTTATTCTGGGAGTACAAGAAATAATAAAGGTATTAGCAAAAGAATAGTCAACTAACTAGATTTTTGTGTTGTGGGGATTCTAAATAAGTTGTCATACATTTTAGCGGAAGGGCTCATTCAACTAAATTCATGGAAAGTAGAATAATTTTTCATCGTAGGGTTTCCAAATGGCCCTAAATGTGCAGCAACTTAATGAGATGTATTCCCTTCACAGAATATTGCCAGTCATATCATCAAACTTCATGCATCTGCTCATGCAGCCAATGGTGAAACTAGAACCTATATAGAAGATAACTGGCTGAAAAGGTTTCTCTCTCTCTCTCTTCTCCCACCCGCCAGTGAAATTCTGTAATGTTATATTCTGTGCATGGCTGCATTTGCCAATTATCAGTTGGATGCTGAATTGTTGAGTTGCATGTGTGCAGGTATATACATTACTGTCGAACTGTATGTCACCCCCGTCTATCAGATTCTGCTGCCACCATGCTGCAGGAGAGCTATGTCAAAATTAGACAGGTATTTTTGGACTGGCTCATATTACTGAGAAATATCAGATACCTCCTCAAGTTTGAATCTATATAGCATACATGATTTATTCAATGTCATAAATTTTTTAGTCCTTTTCAGAATGGGTTGACATAGCTATAGAAAACTGGGGGAGACAGGAGCACCAAAGTTGAGAGTGACTAGGGACTATAATACGACGAAAAATACATATGATGCTCGTTATTACTATTTTGTCAACCCTTTTTTAGTGACTTCAAGAAGCATTATCTAAATAAGTATCAATTAATAAAAATCTATACTTTCAAATCAACTATAAAGTCTGTAATGGACTAATATGTCCCATAGATGTGTAAACATCTTGATGTAACATAAAGCACGTTAAGGTTTACCATGTTTCAAGAGCTCTGCTATTTTTTGAAATAGCTTGAGATATTCAATACCACTCTACTCCAGGTGTTTTTCCTTCTAAACTTATCTAATGGGTATTCTGCTACTTAGTTTGGCTTCATTACTGCTGCCTTGTAGCGCAAATGGCATTCATTTGGAGTTCCTATATAGGGGTTCCAAGTGGTTTATATCTACTTTATGTGATGGTGTCGTTATCACTCAGCAAAACAGAAATTGACTCATTTTTGGTTAATCTGAATAAGGTGAAGAATTACTCAGGAAACCAAACTGGATTTTGCTTTTGGTTTACAATGTTTAAGATGGCCATTGTTGGAGTTTGTACGAATTTATTATCTATTCTGCTAATCGAAAGTCATTCATTTTATGCTGGTCATTTGATAGGACATGAGACGGCAGGCAAATGAAACTGGGGAGGCTGCTGCAATACCGATCACCGTGAGGCAGCTGGAAGCTGTAGTGAGGTTGAGTGAGGCACTTGCAAAAATGAGACTGTAAGTTAGTGGACAAGGTTTATCTTCATTGAACGTTGATGCTTTCTGTTTCCATTTCGCTTTTTGGAGGCCATATATAGGTTCTATCCTTATTCTGTGAAGGCTAGTAGAATTCTGATTATAAGAGTCTGAGTGATCAAAGCTCTGTCAAGATAACATTCGAAATGTGCAAGGTAGTTAATTTCACAATTATGTGGCTCCCACTTGGCAGCCAGGTTAAAAATTAACAAAATTAAGTATCATGGTGAGCAAAATCAAATGTAAGAATTACTTTTAATGCTTCTGATGGCCTATTTGAGTATGCTAACTTTCGACATTAGCGTTGATTCTTGCAATAGCTAACCAGAAATATCCAAATTTAGGCTATTTACTTTACCACATTAGCTAACTGTGAAGGCAAGAAGGTTCAAGATGTACTGTTCTGATTAAGAATGCATGCCCCCCAGAAGAATTAGGTATTAAATCATGTCTGGAGTTATCCACCAAATTAGCCCTAAGGCGTTGGTTGGATGGCATGTGTTCCAGCTTGATAGGTTATAGTTACAGGATCAAGCCTTGTCAATCCTTTGAGCCATCCCCAGGATTTACGTCGGTACCATCATATAGGGGCGTCAAATTGTGTCGTGTTTGTGTGACCCACTGTCGTTTTATTTGTGTTGTGTTCGT